GTGTTAGCCAGGATGGTCTCGATCTCCTGACCTCGTGATCCGCCTGTCTCGGCCTCCCAAAGTGCTGGGATTACAGGCTTGAGCCACCGCGCCCGGCCAAGATCCTGCATTTCTAAGAACCCCTGGGAGAAGCTGATGCTGCTGCTCCCTGGACCACCCTTTGAATTGAAAAGATCTAAACCAACAAGGCCTGGTTTTCTAGAAAGGCCTGTGGACTCTTCCTGTCCAGAAGGGTGAACGGAGAGGCCCACTCCCAGCCAGGCCCCAGCAGCCTTAGAGGGGATGTTGGGAGGAAGGAGGCAGGAGGGCAGCTGGAGGGAAGAAGCCGTTGCAGAACATTTAGGGGCTTTTTCTCTGACCCTAAGAATCACCAGCTGTTGGTGTCTGTTGAGTTGGGGCTCCTGGAGTCATGGGAAAACCCCCTTGGAATCCCCACTCAAGACCAGCTGTCATTCTCAGCCACTGGGTTGGAGATTCCTCCAGAAATATCCACAGCTCCCGCCATCTGGAGGTGGCTCTAAAAATTCAGAGTCACTTCTCTCCCTCCTAACCTGTCCACATGGGGCAGAGGGCTGAAGATACAGGTGCTGGGGCCACCTGTGAAACCCTGTTATTCCCTCATCGGAAGAAAGCACCCTCCCTTTACACATCGTCCAGACGGCCCTCTGCGGGGTCAGCTTCCTGAATCTGGGGCATGGGCAGAGGGCCTGAGGATTGCACAGAGAACCCTTCATTGGTTTTAAAACTGGCTGCAGCAGAGACCCCTTGTTGAAAGGTAGATTTTAGGCTGGGCACAGTGGCTCACACCTGTAATCCCAGCACTTTGGGAGGCCGAGGTGGGTAGATCACTTGAAGTCAGGAGTTCGAGATCAGCCCAGCCAATATGGCGAAACCCCGTCTCTACTAAAAATATAAAAATTAGCTGGGCATGGTGGCGCAAGCCTGTAATCCCAGCTACTCAGGAGGCTGAGGCAGGAGAATTGTTTGAACCCGGTAGGTGGAGGTTGTGGTGAGCTGTGATTGCACCACTGCACTCCAGCCTGGGCCACGGAGTGAGACTCAGTCTCGAAAAAAAAAAAGGGGAGGGGGTAGATTTTAGGATCTCACTCTAGGTTTTCTGAACCTCCAGGGTTGGGGCTTGGGGGTCTGCCTTAATAAGAGCCACAGAGACGGCTTGGAAGCCCAGTCTTTGGGGAACACTGACCCTCTCCCCTCCCCCAGCCCCCATTGGTCTTGGCCCCTGAAGGATTTGGGGAGCAGACCTGCGAGAAGCAACCCCGGTTCTGATCCCTGCAGCTGGGCTTGGGACCCTGAAGCCAGAACAACCCCAGGGAAGGAGATACAGGCTCAGGTAGCCACTGGCCTCTGGATGACCTTGGAGGTCAACACCTGGAGTCTGCAGGCTTTGCTGGGGAGGGGGCAGGTCGCCTTAGGCAGGGGACTTCGCCTCTCTGGCCTCGGTCTCCACATCTGTAAAGTGAGGCCGTACTTTCCCCCTACCCGGCAAGGATGATGAAGGACTAGAGAAAACATGTCAAATGCCCTTCTCAGAACAGGGGCTCAGGAAACAGCGGCCTTGTTGATGGTGACTTGGGGCCATCAGCAGAGGGATCTCGTGTCAGGAGCCCCCGTGAGCCAGCAACACACAGGACAGGAGCCTCGTGTCAGGGGCCTCTGCTGGGGATATCTGTCTTCCTGCCAGAACAGAGCTGGCCTTTCCTGAGTGGCTCCTGTTGACATCATACTGCATGCCCCCGGGACAAAGGGCACCTGGACAGAGGTACACACACAGTCTTTCTCTCCAGTGACCCCAGGAGTCCTGGACCAGGAGGCGGAGGCTTGGGTTTGAATTCTGCCAAACACAGGTCAGGGTGCTGGAGCCCAGAGGCTGGAGAACATTCGGCCAGGGGAGGAAGAAGACGTCAGTTGAGCAGGACCATGGCAGGCTGTAAGACACGCAGAGTGTTTGACTCTTTCGCTGTGAGCAAAGGGCAGTTGGCATAGAAGGTCAGTGGGGAGTGGAAGGAGTTTGACTACATCTGGGACTTGAAAAGGCCCAAGCTGCACTCCGTGTCCCCACCAGGCAGGATGGAAGTGGCAGCCCTCAGACCTGTCATACCAAAGCCAGCAGTTGCTCATCA